AATTTTGCAAGACTCTCAGGTCTCTCCTGTGCTGTGGTAGTAGAATTTTTTCAAAGTCCTAATTCATATGTCAGATGTCTTCCTTTAAGGGAAATTTTCCTTTTTTGTTCAAATAATTTTTTGTGTGGGCACCTCTCTTCTGAACTACCTCTAGAGAAGCTCCTATTGGTGGTGCTAATGGTGAATCAAGTTTGAACACTGCGGGGGGGAATTATGTACAATGGTAAAGGAACAGGATGGGAGACTTGTATGGTTACTTATTTTCATTCCCTCCTTTTTCAGGAAACCAGAATATAGCTTGCACTGCTCTGGTTTAGGTAAATTCACCCGTTTTACTGGTTTCATAACCTTTTCTGGTAATGCTTCATTTGTTGGGGGATTAATATCGACATTGTTACCAGATTCTTCTGGCATTAGATATTCTTCCTTTTGTCATCCTGAGTTGGAATGTAATATTTCCATGTACCACCTCTGGATTTCTAACAGTGAATCACTGTGAACTACTGGCTGTTTGATCTGATAGCCGACAGGGATATACTCTTACATATGTTCCTCCATGTTTTACTAGGACCTGCTTAGCCTCCCATCCAATAACTGTTCCTGGGCTCATCCATTTTTCTGATTCATTTCTCTTGAAATATACTAGATCACCATTATATTTATGTGGAAAATGCTGATCATATTTGATGTTGCTGGGCTCTTCTTATTTTTTCAGAAGACTCACTTTCAACAAATGATCTTGTAGCAGCATGCATTGCATTTAGATTGTTGGCAACTAGGTCACTTGTGGATATCCTTTCCAGAGCAGGTGGTCTATTATTTAGTAGTGTAGGAATGTTTGGGTCCCTACCTAACACCAACTGATTTGAACTGTATCCATTCACATTGTGCAATGCATTCTTTGCACTAACGACCCACCGAAGAGTCACCTCAAAATTACACTTAACACCAGCCAACGTCTTAATTACCATATCTCCTAGAACAGAATTATGATGCTCACATAACCCATTACTCCAGGGAGACTGAACAGCAGTTGTTCTTACAACATTTAGATTTTGAGCCATGTCTCAAAATTCTTGGTTATCAAACTCTCTTCCATTGACAGAAAAAAAATAAGAAATCCAATATTTAAAAAACTATTTAATAATGGAAGAGCTTTCTTTGTTAAGATTTCAGCCACAACACTATACCTAGTGCCATGATTGATCATATGGAGCACCTTATGTAGCGAGCATGCGCGGAAGCTTCCTCGAACTGCGTGTGTGTGTTGTTGCCGGGCTCACCTTGGAGTACCATAATGGACTCGACCGAGGACTACAAGAAGACGCGCAAGTCGTTTGGTGTCTTTTCTTGGGTGACAAAAGCCGTTGCAGTCGGTTGTCCGTCGACAGCAGTCTTGGGTGCCGTTTTGATCGTTTGCTGTCATAAAGTGTTTGTTCGCAAGAGAAGGCGTTCGTTTCAGGTTCACAAGAAGTTTTTTTTCCCCCCGTTCTCTCGCACAAGTTATTTCGGCATTATGGCCTTCGACCTGAAGCTGATACCACTGTTCAACGGAAGCAATTCTGGACAGTCGGTAGTGGAATGGTTGGAGAAGGCGGAACTAATATGTCAGTTGAGCGGTGTGAAGCAAATTGAGTGTGTTATCCCAATGCGTTTGACAGGTGGCACATATGCTGTATACCAGCAATTGAGTGAGGAGAAGTGCATTGTGACGAGAACACGGTGTTCAGTTTTGGAAGCTGTATATTGGCACAATGTTACCCCAAAGGACAATAAAACAGCTTCAACTGCACCGGCGAATACAATCTACACCTACAGGGTCTGCATTAAGGGTATCGATGCAGCTTTGGTGTGTGACGACACAGTTGCCAATCCTTATACGGTAGGAGAGACTGTCTGGGTGAAAAATCCGCACGGAAGGTGTACGACACAGTTCAACAAGGGTACGGTGACACAAATTAATAGTCCCCACTCCATCTCTGTTGATGGAATACTGCGCCACATAAAAGATGTGCGTCCAGCATGCAGGAAGGATTATTCCGTCAGCAATCACATTAGTTCTTCTTCTGATGATGATGAAGACCCGATGGTATATATAAAATCACAGGAAGAGCACACCTCAGAGAGTAGCGCGCCTGATGAACCTATGCGGGATGAGCTCAGCGAGACATCTGAAGAGAGCACCACTGAGGAAGCGCTTGAGACCATACCACTGAGACGGATCACCAGGCAGAAACGGCCTGCCCCACATTGCCATTTGTGTGATCTCAAGATCAGGGAGGAGTGTAGCGAGCATGCGCGGAAGCGTCCTCGAACTGCGTGTGTGTGTTGTCGCCGGGCACACCTTGGAGTACCATAATGGACTCGACCAAAGACTACAAGAAGAAGACGCACGAGTCGTTTGGTGTCTTTTCTTGGGTGACAAAAGCCGTTGCAGTCGGTCGCCCGTCGGCAGCAGTCTTAGGTGCCGTTTTGCTCATTTGCTGTCGTAAAGTGTTCATTCGGAAGAGAAGGCGTTCGTTTCAGGTTCGCAAGAAGGCGCGCTCGTTTCAGGTTCGCAAGAAGTTGTTTTTTTTCCCCCCATTTTCTTGCACACCTTGAATGTCTTTAATATCCATTGCAACCTGCTCATTGAACTGTGTGGCTAATGAGAATCTGACAATGGGTCTTGGCTTTGCTTTTTTGTAAGTTAAACAAATGTCACATGTTAATGGAAATTCCTCCTGGATTTTAAGGAATTCCCTGTCTCTTATACCAGCATTCCTTGCCAATGAAGGCAATTTTAAACCACTGGGGTGGCTGAATTGGCGGTGTAACTTTTCAGCTATTTTCAACTTTTCCTTCCTACTTTTTTTATTTACACTGATAAGTAGTATTTCAGCACACTCCTTCTGTGATGGAGCCTTTGTTAGGGGGGACATAATAGTATCCTGAATCTGTGCAGAACAATTCCTGCATGGTACCAAACAATTTTATAGTGTCTTTTTACATTTTTACCACCAAGCACACAAGGCAGTTCCACATAAAAGAGAGATGGCAAAACACCACTATTGCCAAACCTGAATTTGCTGCATCCTTTGGTTCTCCTAACTTTATTCCTCATCACTCGTACTATGTCTTACCAAAGACTGTTTGTGAACAGACGAAATCCAGCACAACACCACCAATTGTCTGTCCAAGTAGGGTTGTTCGAGACACTTTTGGTTCATGACCTAACTGGCTCATGAGTACGACATTAGCCTCATGTACAGCACTGTCTATCTCTTCTTCAAAGTGTTGGCAGTCTCTAGCCCAATGTTTAAATGATCCACAGATAGCACATTTAGAGGGCCTACCATCACGTCAAGGTGGGTTGACTCTTCCTTTATGATTTGGAGACTTGATGTTGTATCTATATCCTATGTGACTTTTTCTGTTCTCTTTGGATTTAAACACTTGATGGCTACCAAATTTATTGGCAAAAAATATTTCTTCCTCCTGTGGTTTGATGTAACTGTTATCCAGAATAGCAACATTAGTTTTCCTTTTTATCAGATTAGATCTTGTCTGGGAGTTGTTGGAGACACCCATGCTTGCCATTATTTTCCGCAATTGTATTGACATTGCATCTAGTGTCAATACTTCAACTGTAGCTTTAACAAGCCTTTCCTTTTTTTTGGGAGAGAGGTTAGCACTCTTCAGGGCTTGATAGGCCAAAACTGGTTCTGGCAAACATATTTTGAATTCCTTCAACTTGGCAATTAGATGGTTAAATTCTATAAGGTAGTCATTTATGGAGATATCTTTGAGTCAAGAATAGCTTTCAAATGATTCATATGCCATTAAAGCAGCCAAGTTTGTATCAACTCTGAACAAATTATCCAGCTTGGCATAGAGGGTTGTCATACCATCCTCCTGGTTGAAGACTTCAGAATCCATTTCAAGGATAGCCTCACAAGCTTTTCCAGTTAAGGACAAAAATATGGTTGGAGCTCTTTTTGCCTTTTCTAGAGTGGTAGCCATCACCCAGAACTTCATTTCTTTCCTCCAGGAGTCATACTTTTCTGGGTTCAAGACAGGTGGAGTAAGTATTTTTGAAGCCATATTTTTTTGTTTTCTGGAACTATGCTCTGCTACCAAATTTGTGAAATGAGTACTGACACAGAGTTAATCCAATAGCTCAGATTGTTACCACCTCCCTCGGCAAATGACTTTTTTTTTCCTTTTTTTTTTTACAACTGAACAAATTTGTGTGTGTCTTAAGTAGTGCTTGCTACAATCCCAAGCCTGCTCCTGATTGACAGAAACAGTCTTATTTAAATTAGACCAACCTACAATTTATTATGAGAAGGTCTCAGGTTCAATTCCCGATAAGTCACAAGTTAACACAGATCTCAAATGGAACTCGTACATATGCTCCATCACTAAAGATGCTGGAAAAAGGGTCTGTTCCCAGTACAGCTCCAGTAAGCATTTGACCCCTCCTTCTATCCTCTATCTGCACTAGAGCCAGATCAGACTGAAAATGGAGTCTTGAAAAAACATCTCTGCATCCTTGTGGGTGATGAATTATTTTCTAGAATTATCTTTTCTCTGTTTTTATTTATAAATATCAATTTTGAAATCAATGACATAAGAAATTTCAAAATTGATATTTGTAAATAAAAACAGAGGAAAGATAATTCTTTAAATAATCAGAGATTGATTTGACACTATATTTATGAGCAGGACCTTACTTCCAAATTGATTTAAGGTTTTTAAATTCTAACAAATGTTATTAGTAGAAAAAAGATGGTCTAATAAATGTTAATCAACAAAAATTAGTCCCAACTCCAGTCCTTTTTTAACGAGTGGATACTTTTTCTTAAGTTGTGTCCTAGAAACAAAAAACTGGCTCATTACAGTAACTATATATCATACATTTAATTCTAAATCTAATTGAAAGCCAAACAAATTGAAACAGATTGTATTTTCACAATTTTAAAAAGGATATACATTTAAAAGTATAAATAGAATATTACCTGAGTGAGAAATCATAGTAGAATCAGGATTGAATGTAGCAGTTATAGGGTTAACCCATTCTTGGATTTGACATTTTAGCTCTTTGGCAAGAACTCTGAGAGCAGTGGTTTTGCCAACACCCGCTGGTCCTGTTAAGAGAAGTACAGGTGCAGGCTGAAAAGATAAATACATAAATTAGATGCACATATTGGTATAACTAAACTTAACTTTCAGTTCAACATTCCAACCACCTGAAGAAGGCCGGAGCGTACAACAGCCGAAATGTTGTAATAAATATGGTGACAAAGATGTAGACAATAGTCCGAATAATGTAAATAGTAAACTTAACAATATATAAACTTTTTAATGTTGTAAAGATCAAAGAGTTTCATATAATAAACAAAAGATAATTCATAACTTAGTACAATTGTTTCAAAACAACATTTAATGGCAAAACATAACAGTTTAATATAGTTTTATGACATACTAATAATTTTCTACTACCAAACAACCATAAGAATTATTTTTTGTTACTTAGAACTACTCACTTAATAATCTTTACAATTGGTACAAAAAAATATCACTTATAATGCAATAAAACATAACTATAATAATCTTCAGAAATTAAAAATACTTTTTTAAAGTTCATTTGAAATAATTAAAAAAGAAAATTACCTTTTTACCACTCAAATTATTCTTAAGCCAAGTTTCAAGCTCTTGAATTTTTTTCTTGTGAACAGCAAGATCATACTAAAAAAAGATTTGTAATTATTTTTACAGAATATATTACAATATGATTGTGTTCTTTAAAATTATTTAATTTGTTTTACAGTGCCAAAATATTATTTTCATTTATTTATATCATAAAGGATAAATCCAAAATCAATTAAAAAAACAAGAATTAATAACAAAACATTAATCTTAAGTTTTCCAGTAAATTATTCAATAATATTTAAATTTTTTCCAGAGACATTTAAATTTCATGAGACATTCTATATCAAATCAACAATAGTCTATCACTGATATAGATTTTTAAAAAAAATTGGCTGAATGATACAAAATTGAATGGTGCCTATTTTACATCTCTAGGGTTTCAGAGACTATTGGAAAAAGGTGAATTTTGGAAAATAGATTACAAAATTTAAATATCATTATCTCAGTTGTTTTTTCAACTACAAAGCTAAATTATATACCATTTTAAAGTACTTGGATAAATTTAAAAGGTGATCTATTTTTATTTTTTGTTGCTTAGAAGTCAAATAAACTAATTTGACAGCAAATTTGTCTGCCTTATGACAGATATGTACAAAATTTTGTGGGAGACCTTTGACCATGGCCTTGACTACAAGGGTTTTACAGAGTTGGGCCAAATACAAAATGGCAGATTTTGGCATCTGCCACAATATGCTGACATTTTCGTATCTCCCGACATGGTCAAGTTGTATATCTTTAGAAAGCTCTTTCAATGCTGATTAATATTCACATAAGAATCAGAATTTGTGTTGTTTGTGCTCAAATGTTGATCAGTCTGGTGGAAAATAAACAACCTTATTTTTGATTTTGTTTAAATTTCTATGATGCAACAGATATATTTTTATATGAAAAAAATGGCATAATGAAAATAATTATTTTAAAAAAGTGTCATGAATTAATGTTGAGATTACATAAAATAACATGAAAATATGCAACAAATGATGTCAGTGGTTAACAAATTTTCATTCACCTTTAATAGGTACACTAAACGCACAAAATTTTTTTTTTAGTTTTTGTTGATAAAATAAAAAGTTAAATTGATCCCCGGTAAAAAAAAAATTTGCACCCATTTTTGAATAAAATCAACAGTGTTACCTAAGTTTTCTGAAAGTACTTTAACATCAGCTGAAGACCAGGCAGAGTCTTATAGTATTTATGTGAATACTGAAAATGAATTGCAAGTCACTCTCAATGATTGGTGAATTGCCAATCAAGCATCAAAAACTTGAAAAACAAACCAGTTCTGAGAGAAAAAAATGTAGGAAAAATTAAACGAGCAGTACAAAAAAAATTAAACTAATTTTGCCTAAAATTTCTCATCAACTGATGAAAGTGAAATTAGTATACAATTAAAAAAAAAAGTTTTCAGTTAGTGAAGAGCTCCCAAAAAGTACAAATTTTGATAATACTTACAAAAGCTGGATTACCCAAAAAATTAAAATGGAATTTGTCACCACAACAATTTGACAAGCCAAAAACTTCTAAGTGAACAAAGAATATTAACTCTACCAAATACATGAAAATGTAGATTCCTACAAGAAACAATTGATGAAGTCGTGCTGTTATAGTGCTGTGAAGAAGTCAGCAGAGTGATGCCTGGAAAAAATTACTCTAAGACAGTTTTAAAGAATGGTAGAAGAATTCAAGAACAAAAATATCTTATACTCTAACCTGAAAGAAGCAAAATCAAAGAATCCAAACAAAAATAGTTTTTCAAAATTGCTGAGCTCTGACTAAAAGAATGTATCCTAACAAGTAGTGCTGGAACACACTGTGTCAGCATTTGCACAATACATCAAAATATTAAACTTGATGATTGTAGGGGGCTCATCTTGGTACACTAACTCAAGGTGAACAATATCATTTAGCAGATTACCACCAAAGCATAGCCGCAGTTACATGCAATGACACAAAATCTAACTGCAACTTGTAGCATTCTGATGGAAGATTTTGTTTTATATATAAAAAATAAATTCTAAATAAAAATGTAATAAATAATTTGATTTACAAACAGTGGCTATCAACTGATAGAACCAGATTGCAAACTGCATCACAATCTGCAGGGGAATTTATTGAAACCTTGAAGAAGTATGATTTCATTGCCAAAAAGCAGTCAAAATTTTATTCTAATAAGAAAAGTTCTTTCATGGATGGTGATGTCATGATTATTGCAGATTTTGCCAAGAATTATTACTTTATTTTGCAGGATGCTGCACAATGCTCCCACTGGAATAATGCTCAAACCACATTACATCCATTTGTCTGTTACTACAAAGAGTTGGTGCATATTTTGTAATTTTATCAGATTGTCTTAAGCATGACACAGTAGCTGTCCATTTGTTCAAAAGAAAGCATATAGAAATACTGAAATTAAAAAAAAAAACCTTAATTCTAAAATAAAAAGGCTGATCTATTTCTCTGATGGTGCTGCTTCACATTATAAAAATTTTATCAATTTGTGCAACTGAATTGGTCAACATTTAACCACAAATTCTGCTGATTTTAGGACCATGGTTCTTATGTGAATATTAATCAGCATTAAAAGAGCTTTCTAAAGATATACAACTTGACCATATTGAGAGATATGAAAATGTCAAAATCTGCCATTTTGAATTTGGCCTATCTCTGTAAAACCCTTGTAGTCTAGGCCACAGTCAAAAGTCCCCCACAAAATTTCCTACATATCTTGCCATAAGGTAGACAAGTTTGTTGTCAAACTTTTAAAAAATTTAAGATATAGTTTTTTTTAGAAATTAAAGGTTAAATGTTAAGGTAAAGGTCAAATTAGTTTACTAGACAAAAAAGAAAAAAAAAAGGAAAAAAAGTAAATAAATAAAATAGATCACATTTTAGATCTATCTAAATACTTTAAAATGCTATATAATTTAGCTTTATAAATGGAAAAAACTGAGATATTGATATTTAAACTTTGTGACTATTTTCCAAAATTCACCTTTTTAGCAATTATCTTTGACATAGAGATGTAAAATAGGCACCATTCAATTTGTATCATGAAGCTCTATATCTGTACCAAATTTGAAAAAAATCTGTGTTGATGATGATTGTTGATTTGACATGGAATGACACATATATACATAATTTAGAAAATAATTTTATGAGGAAGATACTAAAAAATTCTTGCTCTTATCCACTTCCCAAAATCAATATTTTGATGTGTGCTCAGTGAAATATTGATTTGGAGAAGAGGGTTGGGGTAAAAAATTTTCAGAAAACTTCAACATTTTAAGTTGTTTGTAAGTGGGATTTTCATACATTAGTTTCCTTGTATTTCAATTTATTATATTTTCTATTGAACTAATTACCATTGTCCACCATATAGTAGACTCCTAATGAATATAACAAGCAGTAGTTCATGTTTCACACCCACAAAGCAAAATAATTGTTGAATAAAAATCTGAAACAGAAAGTTTCTTCATATCAAATCAAAAATGTAAGTGGTGTTTTGTGTCAGCCTCAATGTATTTTTAACATAAGGTGTAGCACGTTTACACAAGAATCAAACAAGAAGAATTTAACAAACATGATACTATCAACAAAATGGTTCATTACCAACTCTGCGTCTTTCTTTCAAAAATAAAATTACTTTTTCATTTCATTATATTATGTAAATAGTCCATCAAATATTTAGGCCTTTGAATTTTTCTACCTAATGTTTTAACAATGAACTGTTAATTACTCACTTTTTTTGTCCTTTTCATCTGTCCTATTTGGTATAAACGTCTCCTTACTGTTGTCATACTTCAAGTGTTTATGATTACTTTGCTGATATAACAATTCCAGTATCTACGCAAGTTTCAACATCTGTACCAATGTAGCAGTCATTTCTCATTTTCTTTGTTATTGTTTCATCTGTTCTATTTGGTAAAAATATTTCTTTATGGTTATATTTTAATTTTTTATGATTTGTATAAGTTTGCACATTCTCTCAGATTTACTGAAGTAACAATTCCAGTGTCTTTGTAAATTTGAACATCCATAACAAAGTAGTATTCATTTCCCATTTTCTTTGTCATTGTTTTCATCTATCCTATTTGGTACAAATGTCTCTTTATGTTTTAAGGCTCACCAAAGGACCTTACGCTGTATATCAGCAGCTCAGGGATGACGCAGACTTGGAAGAAATTAAGCAGGCTCTATCGGCATTCGGTGTGGACCCCTTTGTCGCCTGGAGGCAGTTCACGAGCGGCTTAGGCCAGATAAACGGTAGATGTCTTTCTGGCGATTTGAGGAAGCTGGCTGCACCGTTCGTGGAGCAAGCGACCAAATCCTAGGATGCGCCTTTCTGGCAGGACTCCCAGACAACGCCAGTCGACTGCTACGAGCATCGTCAAGGCTCAATAAGCTGGGGCTAGACACGTTACTGGCCAGAGCCCAGAATATTCTGAAGGACGACCCGAAGCCAGTCTCAGCAGCTGCGGAAGCACCCGCACTGCCAACTGAGGACACAAGGGGCTATAAATCTGGCAGACTGAACCGACTGCCGAAGACAAAGCGGTGCGAAGGATACGCATAACCGAGGAACACGAAGATGTATGCGTTGCTACAGGTGCGACAAGCTGGGCCATGTAGCAAGAAGCTGTCCGGGAAACAGGCAAAGGGGAGTAAGCTACAGCGCCAGCCTTCTCCCCTTGGGCCTGCAGTAGCCGTACAAGCCCTGGTCGTGGACAGAGAGCTGCTCGGCTATGATCTGCTCCTGGGAATGGATGTCATCAAAAAATTGGGTGGCGTCAATGTTGACGAAGAGGGTCGGGCGCGTTTCACTGAAACTGGTCTTGCTCTAGGTGCAGCAATGGAGCTGGAACGGCCTGACTTTCGTGCGGAGTTCGACCAGCGCACAAAGTCCTGGACGGTATCCTGGAAATGGTCGGACAATCAACCGCCAGAGAAGCTGTACAACAGTGTGCCAGAGTATAAAATCCCCCCGCGAGCTCGTGCGGAATACAAGGAGTTGCGAGCCTGGATTGATAACGGATGGTTGGTTCCTTATCCAGAGAAGAAATTGGGGCCCCCGAAGGGCCTGATCCCACTAATGGCGGTTCTCCAGCACAACAAACAAAAGGTGAGGCCGGTGCTTGACTATCGGGAACTGAACGAGCACGTGGACCCTTTTAGAGCCTGCGAGGACGTGTGTACCGAGAAGCTAAGGGAATGGCGACAGACGGGATCAAATGTATCTGTGCTGGATCTTCGCAAGGCATACCTTCAAGTGCGTGTGCACCGATCACTGTGGCCCTATTTATGCAGATGATTGTTGATGCCATTCTGATGAAGGATGAGCACATACAGCGGGCAACATCTGCATATATTGATGACGTGTACATGAACGAGGGAGTCATATCTGCGGCGCGCATGAAGGAGCATCTCTACAACTTTGGCCTCCTCAGCAAGGAACCGAAGAGGCTACAGGATGGTGCACGGGTGCTTGGTTTGCAGGTCTGGGGAGAGGATGACGTTCTGTATTGGGAACGGGGAAACGAAGTCCCAGACATGCCCCCCGTTGTCACGCGGTGAAGCATATTTTCCTTGTGCAGCAAGTTAGTTGGGCACCTTCCTGTAGGTGGCTGGCTGCGTGTTGTGGTGGCGTTCATCAAGCGGAGAGCATCTGACATCACCACTGGATGGGATGACGAAGTTCATGACGCCCCTCTCAACACCATGATGAAGGAGGTCCTCGCTAGAGTATGCAAGGAAGACCCAGCACAGGGCAGATGGTGCGTCGACAGCCAAGACCTCGGTGTGTGGGTTGACACAAGCTCTCTTGCAACCGGCGTATTGATAATTCACGATGGAGCCGTGGTGGAAGATGCCTGCTGGTTACATGCAGAAAAGGACTCCCAGCACATAAACCTAGCGGAGCTCGATGCTGTCATCAAGGGGATCAACTTGGCGATCCTCTGGAAGTTGACCACCCTGCGTCTGTTCACGATTCCGCTTGCGTCTATAAGTGGATCTTGGATACCCTTACCGGGAGAGCCAGGGTGCGGACTAAAGCCACCAGTGAGATGCTTATCTGATGACGGCTTGACACGATTGTGAAGCTGGTGCAAGAGTACGCACTGACAATGGAGGTGTCCTTGGTCAAATATAGCCTCAACAAGGCAGATTGTTTAACGAGGGTGCCCCAAAGGTGGCTTGACGCCATTAAGAAAGCTATTGAGCCCGTGCAACCCGCTGCGTCCGTGAGTCCTGTTTGATCTAATCGAATCAAAGAAGTCCACCAACAAAGCGGGCACCCTGGAGTCAAGCGGACCCTGTATTTTGCCAAGTTGATTGACCCAGGAGTACAAAAGACAGACGTCAGGAGAGTGGTCGGAAGCTGCGTGGCGTGCCAGTCTATAGACCCAGCACCCGTTTGCTAGAAGAAAGGGCAGCTGAGCATGAGGAGCCACTGGAGCCGGTTGGCAATAGATGTTACTCACCACAACGGCGAGGATTTCCTGATGCTCATTGATTGCGGTCCATCTAGGTTTGCAATATGGTGACTGCTGCGTCGGCAAGATGCAGCCACCATCATCCATCAATTAAACAGTATCTTCCTTGAACGTGCCCCCCCCCAACGGAGATATTAACCGACAATGGCTCCGCATTCACCAGTGAGCAGTTCGGGAAGTTTGTGGATGGCTGGGGAGTGCATCTACGGTTCCGGTGCGCCCACGTACCGAGTGGAAATGGGATCATCGAGCAGAACCACAGGACCGTCAAGACCATCGCAGCTAGGATGGGCTGCGCGGTGTCTGAGGCGGTCTACTTGTACAACGTGACCCCGAGGGATGATGTCTCACCCTCTACGGCGCCAGCCGACACATTGCATAGGTACCACGTCAAAGTGAAGGGCATAGAGACCAACCCGCTGCCCGAATTGAAAGTAACCGGAGAGAGGCTGAAGAAAGGAGATGTCATCTGGATTAAGAACCCGCGCAGCAAGTGTACGACGAAATACGGAACCAGACCCGTCACTGAGGTGATCAGCCCGCAGGTGGTGCGGGTTGACAGTGTGCCCCGTCATGTTAAGGACCTGCGGCCGGCGACGCAGTTGCAACCACCGCTGGATGACGAGAGCGAATTGGAATCTGAGACCAGTGAGGCATCGCTCAGGTTCACGCCAGCTCCATCAAGCAGTGACTCAGATATCAGTAGCCTTCCAAGGGACGCGGTGTTTTTCGACCCTCAGACCACGGACGGGAGCACAAGCGATGATGAGGCTCGCAGCGTCCCTCTTCGAAGAAGCACCCGGCGAAAGCGATCGCCACCTTCTTGCCAACTCTGTGATCATGAGATCAGGGTGGAGTGCAGTGAAAATAGAAATGGCTTACCTCCCAAATGCCCTCGTGTCTGTCTGGCTTGTGGGTTGAGAAAGGAAAGAAAGGGTCCAAGATGGCGTCCGTGGCTTTTTAATATTCACGGTCTCGTGCAGTCTCGCAAGGTCGTGTTACACGCATGCTAATGAGGTGTGCCTGGGCTCCATAAAAGCAGGTCACTTGGAGAAATTGGCAGAAGCCGTTACACCCGTGTTCGGTATACATTGCTTTGCGTTGTGTCAGACATTTTCCTACGGAAAGAGTTGCGTCCCTTACACTCCATATTGAATTTGACTCCTTTGCTACACTGTTCCAATTGATTTCCATTATGTATTGTGTAAGCTTGAGTGCCTCATTCTTGTTGGCTGAACTGTGAATATTGCAAAATGTACATGTCCTAATATGTACCTATTTGGTATGAATCTATCCAAATACTGTATCATGCTCAATATATATTTCAATTCAATCACTGAAGTAGGAACTTCTAATTTGCTAGTGGTTTTTATTTTATCCTCACTTGCTTGTATTCCTTTAACAGATACAATATGCCTATTTTAATTTTTTTTTATTTTCACATTTTTACTTATTTGATTTTATTCCAGCTTGCTCCAGTCTTTTTAATGATTCTTTTATATTATTCCTGACCACCATAATAACATGCTGGCTCATTCTTGGTATTTTTTTTTAAACCCAGATGACTGCTATGTATGAATTTTAGCATTTCTCTTTTCCGTATTCCTGGTATAATAATTTTGTCTTGGTAAAAGAGTGATTCATTTAACACTGATATTTTACTTTTGTGGTTAAAGTAAAGCATTTTATTTTTCTCAACTACCATGATTATAAAATTAAATTTTCTACTGAAATATTTTTATAATGTTGCAAATATAAAATTATTCTTGTAAATAAACAATTTAATAGAGTTTAATATTTTTGCTGCCAATTCTTGAGAAAAAAATGAAATTGTATAAATCCAGTTTCATATGTCTGGGTTTTATTAAAATTCTAAAAATAGCCTTCTAAAACAATAAAAATTGCCTCGTATACAGTAATCACAGTGTCAAGAGAAAACCTCGCCTTTTGACATGCTGTTTTTTTTTTTTGCAGGTACATTTGTTAAATTTTGCCAAAATGTATTCAGATGATCCTATTAGTGGACTACTACTCTAAACTGATTTTTATTTTAACAATTTTAAATTTTGTAATATGTTTTTAAAAGATTGTACCTAAACATTTAAGGAAACTAGAAATAGACGCTTACCTGTGAAGATGGAGAATATTTGTCAGTCCACATAAGTATGTTGTCTACATGTGATCTCTTGACCACTTGACTTTGAAAAGCAGAATTATTGAATTCTGGTTCATTAATGTTCTGATGATTACCAAAAGCAGAACTTAAATTCCTCTTCTGAGACTTAGGGGTAGGCTGGTTGTTGGCTGAATTCTCACCAATATCAAAAGCAGGAGTGACCCATTTTGTCATTTTCTGAACAAAGAAAATTACTGGCATACTAAGCAAGTTTTATTGTAGGTATTTTTTCAGAGAGAAAAAATAAGAGCTTGCGCCCCTAAAAGATCACTATGAGTCTCTAAAACTAATCTTGGCAAAAAGCGAAAGTATGCCCATGCAAACATTTAGAAAAATAATTATGATAAGCCATGTTCAGTAACCCAGTTATGTTTTTATAATTCTTTTATATGCAAATTATGAATCACTCTGAATATATCAGCCAAAATAGTAACAAACCCAAATAGTTGATTAAGCTATGTAGAAATTATAAGAATTCATACAGTGCTAAATGAATTGGTGCAAAAGCTTTATCTTATTTTCCAGAAATAAAAAAAGTAAAAATATTTACGATACAAAGATTGAATAAACAATACACTATTCTTGATCTTAAAATATGTTAATAATTTGAAAATTTTGGAACCAATATAGACTACTGAAATAATTGAAAAATAACAAATAAGTTTTTAACCTGAAATCTACACACAGAAACTTGCACATAATAAAAACAACAATCAAATCAAAATATATATTTATAATTACAATATTCAAAATGAATTTTTTTTCATAGAAATCTGCATTATTTAATTCAGTGTTGTATTTGTGTATGTGAAGGTACAGTGGAACCTTGTACTGACCCCCTTTTATTGTATGATTCAGTTTTTGTTCACTTTTTTGGTGAAAATGTGTCTTGGAAATTGTACATCTCCTCAGTTATTGAACAAGGAAATCTGTCTGTTATGAACATGTACATTCTTATTCACTTGTTGCTGTGTGAGTTCCTCAAGCCAAGTAGCCACACAAAGCTTCACATGAACCTGCCTTTGTCTCTCACTAAGTGAGCATCTCCCCTACCATTAGTCTAAAAATTTTCACTTTAAATATTGTTTTAGTATTTTGTTTTTTTTATAAGTTTTATTGTTAAATGCACCACCACGGGTCCTGTTAGGGCAGGTGCATACTTACTTCCTTCTATAAAGGACAATAACTCAAAATACAATTGAGTTACAACTACAGATTTCACCTTGACTGAAACAGTGGAGCAACTCTGTGAAGTATTCAGTGAAAAACATTCTTTGTTTAATATTCGATTCAATTGTTTAAAGATAACAAAAGATGACGCTGATAATTATGTGACATGTGCTGGTCACAGCAATTGGGAATGTCAAAAATTTACATTAAATTCCTCACAGAGGAACAGTTTAAATATTTGATTTTAATTGCAGGATTAAAATTGTTTATTCATGCTGATGTTTGCACCTGACTTGTTTCAAAACTGGAACAGGACAAAGACATTAAAGACCTTCACCACTGAATGCAATAATTTTTTAAGCATAAAAAGAGACACTATGTAGATTAGAAAAAACAGTGATTTATCAATAACCAGCAACATGTGAGAAAATTACCGTGACGAAAAGAAACCTCATTCAAAATATTAGCATTGTGGCAACTGGCATAAGGTATGTTTTAGCCCATTCAAAAAGATGTAAGTACAATATTTGTCACTGAAACAGACATAAGAAGGATTTTCACACAAAAATTCAACCTGGAAAAAATTTAAAAAATGAAACAGGAAAATGTCTGAAACATACAGTATTTGTGAGTTGATTACAAATCTCACAGAAAATATATTGTTGTTTCTGTAAACAACAGACCAGTTTGTTTCCAGTTTGATAGTTGTGACACTATTTAGCTATGGCAATTAATTAACTAATTAACCATAAAAATTCCACAAGAAAATACTGAGAACGGAAAAGAAGATACCCTGAGATTTTTATTTTTTACATTAAAAATAAGATCGAGTTACTTTTCTAAAAAACCCGAGAATTGGTGTAAACAGTGGACTCACAAAAAGGCCATATGTGAGCTTTTGACAATTGATTAATGATATTTGTAAAATTACTGATTAATGAAAAACCTGAGAACAAGATATCATCTTAAGTGCCGGTAAGGCATGGCCATATGGTAATTATAAAAAGTTTTGGCATGAGAAAATATTCCGAAATATTGTCAATATGGGGTAGAGAGAATTACCCTTGTTATTTTTCCAAGATATCATCATCAGTACTGACACGTTAAGTAACCATGTGTTGATTATAAAATTTTGACATGAGAAAAATATCTCGGAAGCATTGCTGATTTGGAGATAAAGATATTATCAATTTATTTTTTTTTCGCAAGAAGCCAAGGGTTCCCGTAGATGCTAACTTCCTGAAGGGACCAGATAGCAGACTTTGACAATTGATTGATGGTGTTTGTACAAAGTGCTGGTTAAGTAGATGCAAAGTGACCAACAGATCTGAGAGATTTTAAGTGGCCATATGGTATTCATAAGAATTTTGGCCAGTGGGACGAGAATTTTGTAAACAAAAATTCTAGATTATAATTTTAATGAGGATTTGGTACGAGGTATCAGTATGAGAAAGGAGGAGTTTGGGAGGATAGATCTCCTACAACCTTTCCTCACGGATGAAGGGATCCCCCCCCCCAAAAAAAATGGAAAGTAATTAATTTTCCAAAATGGGAAGTAATCAATTTTCCTGGCCAGACAACAAAGAGGTTTCTTGTCAGAAATTGGGAATTACCGAAAACCCCAGACTGCATCTAACCCTGCACTGGTTTTTGGTTGGTGTCCATATAAATGAACGTCCTTGGAGAGTTGGAGACAGTCAGTAGTTGAAGTTGGAGCCTTTGGAGTTGCAGTTCAAGTGGCAGGAACCAGAGTGTTGCCTCGCAGAAGCTGACCAAAAGATTCCACGACCTCTGACTTTGCCTGTCCTACTAATAGCAAGTTATACTGACAAATGAAGCTAAGCCAGCACTTAAAAACTAAACCAGTTGACTTAGAAGACCAGAACTAGCCTAAGAAGAAAACGGGTTGGGAGAAAAACACACTCCTGTATATAATAGATGGATATAAGTTAATTTGTTACTCTTAACATACTTAAACCTCTTGGGTTTTTATTTGCTTCTTTTCCTTACGCTTGTGTGATATCACTTCCAATTAGACTCATCTTACACTATGGCCTGATGTCTATTTGATCTTGTCTACCTATGATCAAAATCACAATGTGGGTAGGTTAGACTTGAGATTGAAGTAGTTACTTCGATAGTCAGACATTGGAAGTGAGCTGGGAATGACAGAGCTGGTGTTGAACCAGTTGCAGCTGGCGTGAAGCCGTTAGCATCAACCAACCATCCCACTTGGTACTCTGACCAAAGGATTCCGCTGGGTAGCGACGACCACTGATTGACCGGGACACAGGCTGGTGGCAGCGACTAAGAGTCAACCACAAAACACCGGTAAGGGAAATATTATAGTTTCGCGCCATGACTGGGAGTTGACCATGGGCCAATAGCTCAGTGTCACACAGTGTCAGACATAACATTAATATCACATTCAACCTGGGAACAAATTGAAAAGCTACATGTATCTGAAACAGATCATATAACAATGAGCGAGCCTGGAAATACAATTCGTTTAACTTGTGATGTTTCCTTTCAAAACAGAATATTTTCTGGTATGTGTTATGTTGCAGATAATTCAAAATTAAATTGGTCTTGAATGGATAGAACAACTTAATCTTTTTGAAATTCCTCTGTGTTCAATACATTTAAGCTCACATCAGTTTCTGATACTGAAAATCATTTCACAGACAATTTTAAAAATAAGTTTAGTGACACTTTTTTAACATGGACTTGGGTGCTGTACAAAAATTAAAGCTACTCTGAAATTAAAACCAGATACTAATCCAATTTTTAGACAAAAAAGGCCAGTCCCCATGCTGCTTTGAATATGATTGAAAAAAAAAACAAAAAAAACCTGTAACGTCTTCAGCAAGAAGGTGTAATAGAGTCTGTTAATTATTCCACATGGGCAGCTCTCCTATTACAGTTGTTAAAAAGCCAAATGGAAAGGTCTGGATATGTGCTGATTACTCGACCAGTCTTTGGATGCACATCACAAAACTCAACAGCAGAATTTGCTTTTCAAAGGTTGATCTTACCGATGTTTTTCTTCAACTGGAAGTTGACAAAGAGTTCAAAGAGCTCCTTACTATCAATACCCACAAGAGAGAATTCAGATTTAACCATCTTAGCTTTGGTGTCAAACCAGCACCAGCCATTTTCCAACAGACAATGGATGCCATGCTGACCAAATTGACAAGAGTTGCAGCATTCATCGATGACATTGTTGCAGGAACAAATCAAGATGAACTTTTGCAATGTTTATTTTCTGTTTTCAGCCGAATCCAACAATATGGATTCTGTGTTAAAGCTGAAAAGTGTGAATTTTTCCAAGAACAAATCAAATCTCTTTGGTTCATTTCTGACAAAAATGGTAGATGACCAGACCTGGAAAATAGCCTACCAATAAAAAAAAACATGCCATCAACGACAAATGTAACAAAATTACTTTTTCCTTGGCTTGGCTAGCCACTACAGCACTTTTCTTGAACTTCATTTGGTTTGTGTATCCCTCAACAATCTCTTGAAAAAAGATGTTGTATGTGAGTAGTCTGACGCATGTCAGGTAGATATCAAAAAGTAAAGTCCTTATTTTCTTCTAATCTTTTGCTGATACACTACAACCCATCCATGGATATTGTTGTAGTTTCTGATGCTTCCAATTATGGTACAGAAGCTGTCATTTCTTACATTTTCCCTGATGACAGCCAAAAGGCAAAAAAGTTCACAAATCCAGATCACTGACACCAGCAGAGCAAAATTATAACCAAATTGAAAAAGAAGCATTAGCAATAGTCTTTGCTATTAAAAAGTTCCACAAAATGCTGTACAGATGTCATTTCACTCTGATCACAGATCAAAAGCATCTTGTTAGTATTTTTGGATCTAAAAAAGGCACGCCAGTGTATGTAGCAACCGTCTGCAAAGATGGACTACTTTGCTCTTAGATTATAATTTAGCTATAAAATATAATTCAGTAAAATAAAGTACAGGAAGACTCAGTCATCACAACATTATCTTGAAAGCCAGAAGTCACTTCAGTGCCTGCATCCACTGTAAGTGCATTACCAGTCACTTCTACAATGATTTGTGAAACCACAGCTTCTGATCCAGTGTTAAAAAAGGTGATATGCTTCCATCGTACAAAATGGCCAGAAGTATGCACTGACAAAAGAATTCAGCCATTTTTTCGGTGTTGATTTTCATTGTCAGAAGTTGATGGCCATCTTCTTTTTGTGGAACATGATTGTTCACATTGACTTTGCTGGACCCATCAAGGGGCAGTATTATTTTATTTTTGTTGATGCTTACAGCAGATGTTAAGAAATTTTTCAGATGAATCACATCACCTTGGATGAAAGAATTCTTAAATTACAACAAATCTGCAGTCAATTTGGAGTCCCACAGATACTAGTTTCTGATAATGGCCCTGTATTCAATTCAGCTGTGCACAGAATGATATTTAACACATTAGGGCACCACCTTTTCATCCATAATCAAATGGACAAGTGGGGTGTTTTGTAGATACCTTTAAGAGAGCACTCCTCAAACTTGAAGGGAAAGGAACCACACAAGAAATATTAGAAATATTTCTTAGAAGTTACAGAGCTACACCCATTCCAAATGCACCTAATGGAAATTCACTAGCAGAGCCACTGATGAACCATAAAGTTTGTTTACATATAGAACCATTCCCTAAAAAGGAACATGATGATAGAAGAAAAATTTAATTGTCATCATGGAGCAGTGAAATGCAAATATATAACAGGACAATCTGTACTTGCAAAATTATATGTCACTCAGGAAATGTTACGTATGATGTGGATAGTCTTCAGTCTGGGTTTGACATGCAAAACAATTATAATCATCAAACCTTCCAGAGAGCAAATTAAACACCACTTTATCACTGGACACCTTTGAACTGCCTCAACAAAGTTCCTAAGGAATGCCAAGGGACAAAGATAAGACACCAGCAAAAAATGCACCAAGGAAATCCCATCTACGAAATAAGCCATACCCACTGCAATTAAATCACTGACAGTAGGTACCTCCATGAGATCGCTAAAAAAAGAGCATAGCATGATGAAAAAGATGCCAAATTTGACGAAAACAAAATGTTATTGTCTAAATGTTTATATTATTATTAAGAGGAAATATCAAAGTTTATTTTAATTATTTTTTAAAAATTTTTCCTTCTTTTTAGAACATTCTAAATTTTGATTAAAAAAAACCTTGTTTCTCTTTGTATCACCAGAACTAGTAAAATAGCATATACAATTTTTAGCACGTTTTTTTTTTGTGCGGCACACATTAATTTGGAAAATCTTGCAAAAATAAAAATAATTGTCGGATGTTAATGAAACTTTCAGAAACTATTCACAGATGATCAAAATTATTTGTTATAGTAGAACAACCTAACACACCCCAACTGTGATTGGTCAGTCTAGAAGAGATGTGATTGGGAGAATAAAAGATGTGACGAACTATTATAGTAGAAGCATATGAAGGACAACTACGATCTCTGTGACGTACCTCCCGTTTTACTGATTGTTATATTTATGAACTCTTACTCATTGTACTTTCCATACAATAAAACCTTGTTATTGTTTTACCTAATTCATGTGTTAGTCTAATCTTTCCACTCAGGATTACCTGGTTGCTTATATCATATTATCCATTATATAACATTATTATAAATATGTTTTTTTTTTATTAAAGTCATGGCAAAAATATTTTTTTTTATATTTATTACCCCAATTTCAACTGAGAAGGGTGCCTACAAGTATCAGTATCATCTTATAAAATTTATATGATCTTATTTTTATATTAATCTCAGTTATGACATTTTTCCATAAATGAAATATCAAAATTAATAATAAAATGAATGGAAATACAAATAACAGTAAAATGTAATAAATGTACATAAAATTATAGTATCTTATGTGCACTTTTGATAAAATTTCATAAGAAAGGTACCTATAAATTAATTAGATACCTTTCTTATAAAATATGAAATTTAATCTCACTCTTAACAGACTTATTTTAATTTCTTTATAATATATTTTCCATAAAGCATCTTAAACGTAAAAGTGAAAGCTAAGTGCAAAAAAAAAAAAAAATAAGGTATTGAAAGTTTTCCTTATAAAAATAATGAGGTAAATAATTTGTTCACTTAAATGTAAATAATTTCACTTTTCTCCTTCCAGAGAACAAATTATCCTCACGGAATCAAATCAATATGTCATTCATCACCTGTCAAGTGACACAAAAGTTTATGACTTGCTTTGTTTATATTTTCAAATTACATCTTTCCGTGTAAAAAGATAAGTTAAGTTTGGTTCAAAATATTTTAAATAAACATTATAATTTCTGATTTTCTTAAAAAAAGTTTTGAAAAAATGATAATTGATATTTAAAAGAATTTCAAAGGGAAATTTTCATTTTTTTTTATAAAATGGAAAAAAAAAAAGGTCAATTTTGCTGACTCAACCCCCCCCGCCAAAAAAACAAGATTTTTAAAGAAAATTTCAGACATGCTAGGAACAATTAAAAATGTAAAAAAATACCCCCAAAATACTTAGATCTTTCCTCTTAATAAGAACAAACATTTAGATGATAAAATTTTCTTTTCGTCAAGTTTGGCGTCTTTTTCTTCATGCTATGCTCTTTTTTTTAGTGATCTCGTGGAGGTACCTATCTGACAGTCATTATGGCTGATAACCAAGGTTCCACTGTATATGAAATGTGCATTAACTGTTGTGAATTATTCATAAATTCTCATATAGTAATTTAATTAAATTTCATAGATACTGTGAACTGCACATAAAAAAACATTCAATATCTATAACATAGGTAGAGAGTATGAATGGGTGGATATTCAAAATTATCTGAAATTATGCTCTAAATCTGGTCCATTTCTTCAGCTTACTGTTGATACATACTTGAGTTCCAATTATTGAGGTTTGAATAGAATTCTTCCTCACCGAGAGTTGATGTTTAGCACTGAAATTACTCTGAAATACAGATATGAAAGTATTAGCAACTTATCAAAGAGAAATAGTTAAAATGATAAAATAAAGTTAGAGGGAAATAATTATAATAAAATAAAGAGGAAAGCCACCTTAAATCATGGATTTAGTCATTTGCTATATGGTAAAATTAAGATACAAAAGAAGAAAAACCATCCTGTGCAAAGCAAGAAGCTGGTGAGTGTAAGACAAATAAGTCATATTGAATCTTATTTAGTCAAATGTAAGTCTGCTCAATGTTGCATAGGTTGAAAGCAGCAAATAATATCAAACTGAAAATTTCAATGCATTTTAACAAGAATAATTACACAATTCATTTAAAGTAGATTCTCTTTTTAAACTTTGTCTTTTCCATCTTGATTATAAAGAGATTTTTTGCCTATAAGTTTATCTTTGGAAATATCTGTCATACAAGAAAGGTGTGTCAGGTAAGAAAGTAAAATTTATAACTTATTTATTTATTACACTTTTTTAAAAATCCATGTATGTAATTTGTTCAAAATTGGGAAACTTGCAGTCTGGAAGTATATTTGTATGTCATGAAAGTCATTAATTTTCTTTTTAAATTTTGTTAACCAATAACAAACTGCTTGGCTCATTTTATTGTTACTATAGCATTATTTTATCTACTTTATTTACTTTTAGTTGCATAGGTTATAGAACCTATGCAACTAAAAGTAAATTTTCTGTAGTTAACAAAATTATATTTTTGTGAGTTTATTAATGTTAAAGAGATTTAGTAAAATCAAAAATTAATCAATTTTTGATTTTGTAATATTTTAAAATATTACAAAATAAAAAAAATGGTCAGTATTCTATATTTCATCAATAAGCATAACTGAAAAAAAATAAAAGCTATTTTTTTCTCTTAAATTTTTTTTCATAGAATGTTAGAATATTGTGATTGAGAATAAAATCTTTGCAGAGATTCAAGCTATATTATTTCTTTACTGTCATTTTGAAATGCATTAAATGAACTATTTCCACTTGTGTAAATATACAGTAAGGAAAAAAAAGCATCATAACTCCAGCAGCCATAGTAAACCACTATAAAAGTCATATCAAATATAACATGATATCATTATTTATGCAGGTTGCCAAACAAGACTAAGGTTATATTACAGCTTCTTCAGAATCTAATAGCCATAACTGCATTATCATGGCTAGATAGACCTCTCTCTATTGCCAAACATTTATCAATATCCAGATCCGTGTAACTTGTAATTTATGCTGCTAAATATATCATCATATTGACAATTTAACAGAGAATACTTCAATTCCTTATTTATTATGCATTACATCACTATGAAAACTTTCATTTAGTAGAATTTTATTAGGTTGTGATTTTCCATAGTTTAAAAACAGGACAGTATATGATGAGGAGGAGGATAAGAGTTTATACAAATTTATTTATCCAGCTAAAGACAAAATGTAGACATTAGCAGCAATTCCCACACCAAGGTGTACATCAAATGTATTTCATTTAGCTATGGTTCTTAACTTTTCTTCTTAGACAATAGGTACACAAGACATTTAATTTTTCTTGATGCTCATGAGAATGCTTGACTGCTGACAGGTAGATATTTACCTTAGTATCATCCACAATCAGAGATGAATTCTGACAAGTGACAAATACATTTATATTAGTGCATACAATCTCTTATTTATATTTCTTTTACTTTTACACCTACACTGCCAACAATAAACCTTCAAATTAAAATGGAAATTTAAATTTCTACCACATAATATTAAAGCTAAATTAAAAATGTTACAATAAACTTATACCAAAAATCCAAACATACTTTTCTTTCAAAATCATTTTGAGAATGGATGGTAACTTAATGTGGCTTATAGTTAAATAGTTCAAAAATTTTACAGAAAACTATGCATTGCAAAAGTAATTAAAATGTGAGTTAATTTTTAAGAAGTACATTGTATACAGGAAAGTCTAAAAGCTTAAGAAAAAAAAACAAGGATGGTTACTGCAATGTTTCTTTTTACTAGAAAAAAATGTAAACAATTTTTTTTTTTAATCATTTCACCCCAGGTAAAGCTGGAGTGCCAGTAGTACACAGGAGGGGTTACAGAGAGTGAAAATGAGAGAAAAGACTGGGTATAGTGGGAAATTGAGTAAAGACAACAGAAGATGACAATTGACCTTGCATTTAAATTTTTGAAGATTGTAGTTATGAGGGAAGCAAGTAAGTGGAAAGGAGTTCCACTGTTGGGAAGTACAAGAAAAGAAACTGTGGAGTAGAAGTGACAATTACATTTAACTATTTCAACAATAAAAGCACGAGACCTAGATGCCAATCTAAGCTTAAATTCATTAAACTCAGAAAGTCAGATTCCATGATTTCAGAGCAGTTGCCATGAAAATATTTGTAGAAAAGATAGAGGGAAGCCACATCATGTCTGTGAGAAAGTAGCTGAAGTTGAGATGCTAAGTCAGGATTGATTACATTGCAGATCCTTTGGATTTTGTCAAGAACCTCAAGATGAACAGCAGTGGTACCAGACCAGATATGTCCACAGTATTCACTGCATGGATGAATGGTAGAATTGTAAATGTGCAAAATGAACTCTGATGGGAAAAAACTTCTGGCATGACACAATGAACCAACTTTTTTTGCAGTAAATACAGCTATTGATTTAATGTAGTCATTCCACTTTTATTCAGTTGAAAATGTGAGACCAAGAAGGCACAATGAGACACTCTCCTGGAGTCAAGCATCAGCTATACTGATGGTAGGCACGGAAGTTTCTCTATGGTGGTTAAATGAGAGCAGTTTAGTTTTGGAGGCTTGCATTAAAATTTACAAGCCATTTCTTGCCCCAGTTAACTGATTGGAGGTCCTTTTCAAGAGCAGGGGCCAGATTAACTTTGTCAGCTCTGACGGATTGCATAAATGCCTACTTGGGAACTGATGACATCAGAAAGATCATTGATGAAGATTAGAAACAGCGTAGGACCTAGAATAGAGCCTTGGAGGACACCCACATTTGTATGAAAAAATCTGGAAGCAAGCTCATTCAGAACAACCTTAATTCATGATTTAACAGGAATGATTGGATTAAATCAAACAATTGTCCTGTAATACCATAGCCCTGTAGCTTATATAAAAGACCAACATGTCAAACCCTGTCAAACACCTTTGAGATTTCTAGAGCCATAGCTTGACCTTCACCGTTATTATCAAGAGTTTGATATACATATTCAGTGATGGCTGTAAGCATGTCAGTGGTAGACTGGGCAAAACAGAATCCATATTGTTTGTCAAAGAGTAGGTTATGAGAGGTAAGATGCTTAACCATTTCAGCATTGAGTTAAGCCTCAAATACTTCACTGAAGGAGACTAATGGGGTGATAAAGGGGGTCAGAAGGTTCTCCAGAGTTCTTAAAAACAGAGACTACAGAGGAGGACTTCCAACAAGCTAGGAAGCAGCGAGGCAATAGTTGTAGAGTTTGGAGAGAACTAGAGCCAGCTCAGGAGCACATTTCTTTAGGATGACAACTGGTATCCTGTCCCCTCCACTTGCCTTATGGGAATCTTATTTAGAAATGCTGTCCGAGGCCAGTGATAGAGTTATCACTCAGTATAGCCTCAGTTCTAGGGGGAAATCAGGTGTGGGTACTCCAGATGAGTCGAGTGTTGAATTGGAAGAGAATTTCTAAGCAAAGCATTCAGCCTTATCTGCTGTAGATGTCAGGACTTCAAATTGAGGTTTTGCTGTTGTTCAGCACACTCTTACAGAGTGCCAATAATCTCTAAACCCAAAATTGTGAAATGCTGTATGTTGTTAGTAAACAGTAACTTCACTTCATTGAGGACACGCTTGTACTCATTACAAGCAGAGACAAAGAAGCATCTGTTGCAATCAGATGGTACAGCTGAAAGAAGTGATTCCTGTGGGCTGGGCATGCAGGTAAGAATCAAAGAGATGAACGTGGTTGAACTTGGTATTTCCTTGTTGGAATGAAAGCATCAATGCCAACTTTCACGCCGGAGGAGACCTCAGATGCACATTTTTGAATAGGATGATTAAAAACTTCATTCCAAGGGACGTCAGGAAGGAAATCACAGAACAAGTCCCAATCTGCTTGTTGATAACAGAAAGATATTCTGTTGGTCGGAGGTTCTTGGTTGGTAGGGGAGTGGAAGGAGATATTTACAGATTACTGCATGATCAGAGTTGCCAAAAGGCCAGAGCTGTGTAGTAGAACAAGAGATAGAGGTAAAAAAGAGATTGAGAAGAGAAGCATGTCACTCCAGGTTACTAGGCTAACACATGGGGTAGTCAACCACTTGATTGAGAAGTTCAGGGTTTGGATAACAGTGAGGTCAGTGACAGAGTGTTTAAGCCATCAAACTTGAATATGTTTACAAATGGGTGTTGGGAGATAGCCTTGTCTATATTGTCGGAAATACTATCTATCATACAACAGTTTTGAGAGGAAGTGAATGGTAGGAAAAGAAGAGATACCAAACTGAGTTAAGTAGAGAGAAACGACACATGTACAAATGGTCTAGAGGTTCAAGAGAGACTTCCCTCGTCAGCATGAGATGTTCACAGACAAACTCCCAGGCTATGCATGTGGACTTTAGAGTCCTTTCTAAGGTGAGGAAGGTAGCCAGGAATTGAGAAATCAGAGGTGGGGATTGAAGAGTTAAGATTAGTTTTGCAGAGAGCTAGGATGTCTCGAGACTTTATGAAGAAGAATGATTCCATACTGCAGAAGTTGATACAAATACTACAAATGTTGGAAAAAGAAAGGTTAAGGGGCTTAGATATCTTTACTGAGCTGGTTTAGGTTTATATCTTTGGTTGTTTATAGTCATGATGTATTATATTGGTAAGGAAAGGCCTAAGGTAGTAGTAGCGGTCTGTCAAATAATGTAATATGTGCTGTGAGGGAACTGGCACAGACTGCAACATAGTGTGGCCTTGGGGTTGCCCTCCAGAGGAACACTCTTCCATGTGCAACATGGCACTGCAAGAACCCCGATATTATGCAACTGTTGATCAGAGCAGCATCTCAAGGTGCTACACAAGAGTTTGGCCTCCTAACTACCAGATGCGAACAGCAACCAGAAAACTGCCAACCCATTACCACCATCCATGCATATCACAAAAAATTTATGACAGGACCACTATTAAGGCTTCAGAAAAGGAAAGGAACTAGGAACCTTTTCCTAAACAGGAAACAAGGGATGAGACACTATTCCTGTTCAAGAGAAGGGGGAAAAGTATAGATTGGGCAATAGGAGATACTATCTCCTAAAATTAAATGAAAAGAAAAAAAAAAAGAGAAAGAGAAAACAATCCTGGGTTTGACTTTCAGGTAAATTATTTCAAAAAATGAGCTTTCTTTCAGATAACATATTTGGAGAGTTGTGTTGCAGCCCCCAGATGTCCCAGCAGAAACGTGTATAGATACATTACATTCAAAAGTGCAACATTTACAAAATAATCCTTACACAGTTCTTTAATATCATACTTACCTGAGAAAATTTGACACCTGAATAAAAAATCTATGAAACCTGTATAAAACTTCATTTCATGGTTATTTTACAACTAATCAAAAGCTGAATGAATGGAAAAAATTCTGATATAAATATCATTTCTATATTTTACGTAGAATCGAAAATAATTGCATTTAATAATATTCCAAAATTCACTTCATTATTGGATTTTAATAAAATTTTTGGCATTTTAAAAACATTTATCATTGGTCTGCCATGTTAATTGAAAAATGAAAATAAATTTAATATACTTAAAAAAAAAAAAAAACACTCTTAAAAATCAAATATCTATCCTTGATGTTAGTTTCAAAGAAAATTAGTAAAATTAAGGATTAACAGAATTTTGGAAAATATTTCTGTATGCTTAAAATAATATGAAAAATACCTTTGAATGTATATTCTAGCTGTTAACAAGTTCGTAGATAAAACAATAGCAAGTTACCTACTGCAACACCAACTTATACAAAAAGACTGCTTCAATTTTGATTAAATATGAAAACCCAAAACTATCAAAATACAGAAACTGGTTTCGTTTATGTTTAAAAATTAATTATCTTTCTCTTGTTTATGCTTAAAAAAATTAATCAAACCTTCTATAACCAATGAGAGAGGAATATATTTTTTCTGCTGTAAATAAAATTATTTCTTTATGAAATTTAGAATATTCTAAATATTTAGAATATAAAACTACTTTTTTAAATAATAAAAATGAAGTAATATTTTTATGCCTTGTATTTATTTGTTTTTTTATTTTATTTTTAACTATTTTGCATTTACTTATTTTTTTAACTACTTGATGTCATAAAATCATAAAATATTTAACTGCACCGAATCAGGTCTTTTTAATTAAAAAAATTTATTAAATAAAAGAAAGTGCTGCTATAAAAGGAAGAAAAAAACTAGGGAAATTGATAAAATCTTATTGAATTGATTCTGTATATTGATTGCTTTTGTTTTCTTCCAATTATCAATGTGAAAATATTCTAGACATCTCCAGAAACATGCATAATTATTTTTAAACTTGTATAACCAACAGGGAGGTAATTCAGAATTGTTGAATTATTTCCTATTTGATCTTCAATACAAAAAATAGTTTAACAGTTGAAAAAAGAAAAGAAAATTCTTTTTAAAATATTCCTGAAGTGAAAATGACATTAAACTTTACATTTTTCAGCTTTTCAAAATCTTTATTTAACCAAAATAATTTAAAATCATACTGATAAATTAAAAGTAAATTTTTCAAGAATATTTTCAATAAATATTCACTGTCAAACTTAAAAAAAAAATGTTTTATTAAATTATGCTTTTTTGAGTTTTATTGAATTATTTTGTAGAGTTTCAGGATAAAAAAAAAATGTTTGTTAGCCTCCAATTTTTAAAATTATTCATGATGTATCACAATCTTTTCTAATAAAATAACCTATTCAGTATAAAATTAATCCATTAATGAATAAATTCTAAAAAATTTTATTTAAATAGGATTATTCCCTGACTTTTGGTAATTATTTTGAAAACGAGTGTAGCGTTTTTTCCCTTTCTTTTCAGAAAATAACGCATCCATTTTTTTTGCATATAAAGTTAATTCCCTTATTGATCATACTACAAATGAAATGAGAGTATTTTATTTTTTTTTTTAGGAACGTACATTTTGATTTTTTTTAAATAAATTTGCATGACAGTTTGTCCTAAATGACTGTAAGCACCAAGTAGCTGCAACTCAACTTTCATTTTTATCTTTCTTTCCAACGATAACCAGTCAATCTGAACTTTACTCTTGTTTATATTTGTAATTTATGTACAATCATAACATTATTTTTAAATATTGTTCTATATTTTATATTATTGCAGTAAATAATTTCAAAATTGTTGCACAATTTAAAATAAATGTGAATCGATCGATTTCCAATCTAAGTAAAAAAAATATTGAATTTTCTAGAAAACATCTTTAATAATAAATATTAAAATATCTTTGGGTAAATTTTGGTTTTAACACCCGAGTGCTAAATATCCCTTAAAATTTTCCAAAATCGTCATAATTCCGTGCAAATTTACATGCTGAACTCGAATTAACAATTAAATTATGAAGAAACCATACCGTTTTGGAGTTGTCAACAAGAAAAAAAATCGGAATTCTTTCGTCCCTCATTACTGCCATCATGAATACTGATTTAGTGCAGGGTACTTCCAGTGGCCTTTGGCCTATTTACTTCTTTTACAGACTTTCGTTGCAGAAAATCACTACGCACTCCTGTAAAGAAATTTAATTTTTTTTTATTTTTTTAGGGTTAGGGTTGTGTTTGGCTTCTTTCTGTGTAAGAAAGGGGATAAATTAAAAAAAAAAAAAAAAGAAATTTAATAATACAATAAACCAGATTAAAAAAAATATTTTATATTTTAAAATTGAAAATAAAACAAAAATTAATACTCGAACTTAGTAAAGTAGAAGGGTTGATTGTATTATTTAATTTTTTTTTTAATTTGTCCCCTTTTCTACACAGAAAGAAAACTCCGTCCCTAACACCTAAATTAACCCTAAAGTTAATCCGGTTTATTGTATCATTAAATTTTTTTTTTTTTAAATTTGTCCCCTTTTCTACACAGAAAGAAAACCCCTCCCCTAACCTTAACACCTAACCCGGTTTATTGTATCATTATTATTTTTTTTTTAATTTGTCCCCTACTCTATGCAGAAAGAAGCCCAACACAACCCCTAATATATAAAAAAAAAAAAAAAAAATTAAATTTCTTTACAGTAGTGCGTAGTGATTTTCTGCAACGAAAGTCTGTAAAAGAAGTAAATAGGCCAAAATTTTTATTTCTGCACCGGAAGTACCCCGCACCAAATCAGTATTCATGATGGCAGTAATGGGGGACGAATGACTCAACAAGAAGTCCGATTTTTTCTTGTCGATAACTCCAAAACGGTATGGTTTCTTCATAATTTAATTTTAATTCAAGTTCAGCATGTACATTTGCACGGAATTATGACGATTTTGGAAAATTTTAAGGGATATTTAGCGCTCGGGTGTTAAAACCAAAATTTACCTATCTTTCTTTTTTTAGTCTCTTTACTTTTTCTTTAAGTATTAGAAAACGTTCGGTTAAAAAGAAAATCAAATTTAAAATTATGCAAATTATAAATAAGAATACAACCTATTGATTTATTTTTTATCTGATCATCAGATTTTCGGCCACATTTTTAAAAGTTTGAAAACATTTAAGTTTTAAAGTTAATTAAAAAACAAATTGTAACAGGAGAAAACTGCAGATTATTTTTATCTCAAAGTGGTCAACAGTTTTTTTAAGTTCTCAAATGAACATCATCAGTTTCAAAAATACTAATAGTTACTTTAATAACAAAAAAGTATATTAATAATAATTAATCTATACAAGTTTTAAGAATAACAAACATAAAAGTAAATAAATATATCTCTCTCTCTCTCTCTGGTCAATTTAATTAATTTCAAAAACCTATTTTAAATTTACATAAAATATATTTTCAATGCATATATTAAAAAAGGTTTTAAGCCCAACTTTTTAACTCACCATATTTTTCAAATATAGAATTCAGTAGTAAATGTTATTTCCAATAAAAAGCCAATGTTTCTGATCTATCTTTCTTTTTCTTCTCTTTTTTTTTCATTCAGTAAAAATATGAACACCAACTTACCGGAAGTTATAGAGATATAAAACCGGAACTTTACAAAATTACTGAGTTCATACTAAAATTCGAAATGAGTTTGGCGTAAAACGAAACATGAAACCACGAAATTAGAAAAAGTTATTGGACATCGACACAAAAATAATTTTCTAATGGTTTTCAATGCATTTTTCATTTCAATACATTGTCACCGATGAAAAACTTGTAACTAATTTAAAAATGATGGATTCGAATTAAGCTACTAAAAAAACTTTTTTAAATGCAAACATTATGCATTAAAAATTAAAATTTTATAACATTAAGGAAAAGTCTATAAAGAAAATTATTTCGAGATATAAGTAAATATTTTAACATTTTTTAATTAAAAAATATTGTTATTTTATTAAAATATACTTGTAAATGACACTTATTTTTGCTTCTCTCTCAGAATACAAAACAGCTGATCATTCAATGAGATTTTTTCCTAAGATTTATTTTTTTATTTTTGCATGTTTAAAAGAGAAGAGAAAAGAAATAATTTCAAAACTTTGAACACAACACACAATAAGTTTTTAGTTTAAATCAACTTAATGTAAAAAGAATGTGAACCTTGCCCTTTCATTTCCAGATTAAACAGTGATTGATGACATTCCACATGATTTATTAAATTAAAAAGATTATCAAATGTTTAATTAAAAATATCAATTTCCATAAGGTACCAATGAAAATTGCGGATATTTTTTTACATTTACTTAACCGTTAGGGAATAATTTTAAATTGGTTTTGTTTCCTGCCGTTTTGTAGTTGACTAAAAATTAGTTTATGTGTTTACATGGAATATTTTATAACAGTGTATCAAAATATTAAAAATAATTTCACTAAGGTTCTTAGAATTGATAGACTAAGAAGAAATTATAGTTTGGTTTCGGAATAATGAATAAAAACTTCAACATTTAATTAGTTTTAAAAAGTTTGATTTGAATTTCAATTAGTCTTTTTGCAATATTTTAAAACATTATACTAATACTTTTAGAAATTAATTAATTACCAATTTAATTATAAAATGCAATACTTTTTAATGACAATTTAATAAAGTTTATGTGTTGCGTTTCGGTGCCAGTTCAGGATTATAGTGACAACCACCGTCTGCTTTTGCCTTGTGAGTAAAACGAGCTTATCAAGCAAGCAAGCAGCAAGATAGATCTTGTGCTTGTGTCTCGCTTATTTCACTTTAGTGTTACTCTGTCGTTTATTTAAGAGTGTTCTTTATGTGAGGGAAAACTTTGTTGCCAGAAGGTGACACATAGCTGCATTCTGGAGTGCGTTTTCTATTTACTTTGGTTGAGACTGTCTCTCTTCCTCCTTTCTCTCACACTACTGTCTCGGTAAGCCGTCATGGTTATTGCCTGGTTGGGACAATGACTGATAAAAAAGAAACTGTGCCACAGCCAACCCTAAGTTCCAGCCTTAAAAATGCAACAGTTACTGTTAATGCAACTAACATTCCCGCAAATATTAGTTCGACAACAACAGCTACTACTACGACAACAGTTGTTGGAGATGGTGGGACTTATAGACACCTCAGCAAGTGTTGGTCTCACTCGTCCTCTTCTTCATCGCCATCATCATCACATAGAAGAAAGAAAAATAGAGAAGATTTGGAAAGTGGTGGCGTCCGATACTTACTAGACAAGGAACTATTCTCTTATAGCTCTGGAATCATTCCACCATCCTACCAGTACCAACCCCACCATATGTACCAGAAGCAGCAATCATCATCTTCGTCGATTCTAGGTTCTTCTTCATCATCAGATCATCACCACAATGTGACAGATGCTGATTTTGTTGACGGCAAAGCCAGTAGCCACCTACACGGGAAAAAACATGGTCGAACGTCTTCTCATCAACAATCCCATCATCTTAGTGGTAAGGTTCAATCTGTTATGACTGGAGATACGAGCAGTAACCTCGCTACAGGAAACGAATATAGGGACAACCCAGTACCAACTAGCGATGTCCAAGAGGCTATCCGAAACTTATTGACATCTGTCGATACTGTTTCCTCAGCTTCTTCGTCTCCTCCACCTTCTTCTCACCACCAACAGCGTCACCATCAAACGAGTCGGTCTTCCTCGTCGTCTCCTACTCGATACACTTCCCATGCCTCTACCACTAGCAGTACGGGTGGTACTCCCAAAGCTAGCCACAAGAAAATATTACCACCATCTCCGATCGTTGTGGATTCACCATCAAGGACACCCAGGAGAAAGCTAGATGGAGTAACTTCGATATGTGGTGGAAATGAGGGCAGTATGGGAGCTAAATCTGCCCCTACCTATTCCTGCTCTCCTCCTTTAGTCCTACCTCATGCTTCTTCATGTCCATCTCCACCGTCTATAGGAAGATACAGTGGGGCCCCTGGATCATCAGGATCTCTTTCTAAGAAAAAAGACGACATTGTGTTACCTCCAACTCGTTCAACTGCTTCTGCCAGGGCTCGATCCTGCCAAAATGCTTCTGCTATTACCACTGTTGCGTCTTCTATAACCGGTAGTGTGACTACTACTTCCTCTTCTCGGCCTGGGCTTGACTCTGTAAAAAAAACATATAGTCCACTTAATATACAGACAACCGGTGGTATTAGTAAATCTAGTAGTCGATCTGCTTCTAAAGACAAAAGTAGAGATAGCTCTGTCGATAGTGATTCCGGAAGTGTTCCTAACTTTTATAAAACAAGCCAAAAACTTGCAGAGATCAGCGATGCCCGGCCAAAATATAAAGCATCTAGTGGCAATAATTGCAGGATGGCCAGTGACAGTTATTTAAGCGGCGGTAATAAAAGTAGTAGTATTGGTAACACTAGTAGCAGTAATAACAAGAAATCTGGTCATCATAGCCACAGTCAGGGTATCCACAGTGGCGGGGGTGGTGGTGTTAATAGCCACAAAAATAGTAACTACAACAGAGGTTACCGGAGTCTAGAGAAAGAAAACACATGTAACTACGGGGGTTACGTTACTGGCTACAGCAACACGATCGGCAGTTGTGGACTTGGTGTAGATCAGAGAACGAGTCACGATAAAGATAAAACTGACCACAATTATCATCACCACCAACAACAGCACCAGTCGGCAGAGGGAAAATCAACTCGTTCCTCCAAAGATCATGTTTACTATACAGCTGACCGCCCGAGCCGCAGAAATATGCCGACGACCGGTGGAAGCAGCCACCGGGCTAGTAGTGTGCCTGCACGCCGTTCAATGTCCGTGAGCGAATTTGCAGGAACCTCTGTTGATCCTGATCCGGGAAATGGACAATCCGACGGCGAGAACTTAGAAAAAGTCAAGTCCAAATTAATGTCTATGTGGAATAATGTTAAATATGGTAAGATTTTTGTTATTGTTTTGATTTTTGCAAAAATCTTAATTTTCATTTAAATTTTTACTCATCACGTAAAAAAATTAAATAAATTTATTTTTTTACCCACACCGAAAGGTGCGTGACTAAACTAGAATGTTTCCTTTTTTTATTCCCTAAGGAAAAGAAAAGCATGAAAAATTCACAGACTTATGAATCTATTTTTTAAAAATTGGAATTGGAAGCATCTTTTTAGATTTAGAATAATTTTTGTAAGGTATCGCTCTTGAGACCAACCTGCACAATAAAAAAACTTTGAACGAAATCAGGTTAAAAAAACAGAAGCTGTATGGTTGGGGCAGTTCAAAATTTCACAGATCTAAGATTGTACTATAATTTTAAAAATTATATTCAAAATAATTGTTTGTAACTATTCAATTGTTTGATGCTCTGCACTTGTTTTCTGCTTGTCCAATATTGTTCAACAATAATAATTAATATTAGTTTTACTTACAGCAATCATTATTTTATTTATTTCCTAAGTGCAAGAAATTCATAAGAGTCTTCACTTCAGTGAAACATTTTTTAGGGGTTAAAATAAAATTTCAGTTTGCAAAAGTTTTTTGTCTTGTTAAAACTTTCCAAACAAAAAGAACGTTGGATTCTTTATATTATTTTCCCCTTTTTTTTTTCTCCTTTTTTTTTTTTTTTTTTTTTTTTTTAAACTAGATCTCTATTTTTTTACTTTTAGTCAAAAATACATACATGTTTAAATGACTGATGTAATGTTCAGGTTAAAAAAAAAACAAAAAAAACAAATCATCTTCCAAAAATCCGTATTACATTTGTTGGCATTGTCTAAAAAAAGTGACCGGAAATGGTGGTACATCATCATAAATTTTAAACAATAAAGGCATCATACACGATGTGTGTGCTGCTGTATTTGTCAATACAGGTATATTTTTATTATATATCTATGTGAGAGTACAGTGTAGATGTATGTATCGGTGCGTGGGATTCCCACTTTTAACTCAGCCTTGTGCCACATTCCTTTCGAGTGGGTGTGCAGATAAATATGATAGTACAGTAGTACATTGTGTTTTAATCGTGTGTGCTGCACTATGGAAACTGTTTTCACTGTGTGTGGCTACCAAGAATACAGATCTGCTATAATTTTTCTTGTTATGCAGTCATTATTAACAAGCTCGTACAATAGTTACAAAACAATTATTATTCTAAAACTGGTTTGTTTGATAATAGCTTCATGCCCACGTGAAAATTGTGTTAAACAATGATCATATGATTCCTCCTAGTGATCTATTTTTAGTTATTTTCCTGTAGAACTGTTTGGGTGCATTCAAGAAGTGCATGTTGAATCTTTGAAGAATATTTCACTTTTGTTTGACATAACTTCTGGTCAAGTTGTACTAAAAAATAATGATTCTTCAATGAATGTTATCAATATGAATGTGCTAAAATAAAAAAAACTATACATCTAAGAAACGCGATAACTAATGTTTAAAAATGAAAGATCTTGAAACTTTTAAGCTAATAAATTTATTAATATTTCCAATAAGAAAAATACTTTGTTGCATTTCAAAACTAATTTAAATTGACTGGAAGGAGTTTTTGTTTTGAAATTGCTGATTTTAGAGCTCCATTTTTTTTTTTTTTTTAGCCATAATTCTCTTTATTAAAATATCTTTAAAAAATAAAATATACTTTTTTTGTAACTTTATTTGAGGAGTATTATTAGCTGATTTAAAGTTTAATTAATCTGATTTTAATTTTAAAAGTTTATAACTTATTCTAATTAAAAAAAATTTAAATAATGAAAACAATTCTTGTAAAAATTCATTATTCATTGAAAACATTTTTTTCTTAACACAATAGTGTCCATAATATTTTATTCATAAAAACGATTGAAAGCTTTTCTAACTAATGTCTTAATTTTATTGCATTTTTTTATTTTATGATTCAGTGCAGATTTTCAGTAACTAGGGGATTTGTTTTACAAAATAAAAGAAATTGTTGATTTAAATTCTCCAAGAAGTTCTGCATGTAACTGTTATAGACAAGCGTATAGTTGCAAGAAAGAAATACGACAACAGCAGAAATAGATTTACGTGGTTTATTTCAACAGGAACGTGTGGGTTTGGGACAGCTACCTTGGTGTGGTAAAGTTCATAAGCCGGCTTTTGGATCTAGGTCGATCTCTCGTAGTAGTTCACACATGATGACGGTGGTTGACGATCCTCTGCTGTCAGCAGCTGGACATGACAGGTCTCTATTCTGGCCACCTGTGGACTGCTGCTGAACTTCCCTGTGACCCCTTTTATAGCGTTTTTTTATGGCTTAACAGGCTCGAGAAACGAAGCGAGTATAATTAGGAGGGAAGCATTTTTATTGGACGAAAAATAGAGCACTTTAATTATTATTTTATTTTTCGACCGGAACACGTGTGTCGGAAACATTTGTAAAGAAAGTTAATGGTCATTTTGTGACGGGGCTTTGTCCCGTTCACATCCGGTTCTCACTCTTGAGTATTTGCCTGTAAATCTTCCGAGATATGTCATTTTATTTTATAACAAGGCTCCCCCAGATCTCGGTCTGATTTACAGTGAGCGTTATTCGTGTATATTTGGGTGATTAAGTCATGATAAAGTCATGTGTGGGAAGTTGTCCTCGTGTTCTTCTTGTTGGCATTTGTTTTGGTATTGGGTCATTTGCTGAATTATGTCCCCGAGGGATGTGGAGGAGAATGATCCTGGTGACTGTTACATGGTGGAGGCAGAGGGATTGTATTAGAAAGATGTGTTGGGCGTGGAGCCAGTCGTCGGATATGTGCATGGTGAATCCAGATTGTATCACCATCATTGTTTTGCACCTGACACATCATATTGTTCGTTTTATAATGGTGTAATTTCCTATCCAGGGCAGATGAGAGGATTGGGCAACAGTTGAGTGTGGCGGCCGATGAAGCAAAAACCTTGTACTTGTATTGGGTCCTTGTATGTGAGGCGACGGTTAGTCTCAAGTTTGTGGTCAGCTTCATCGTTGGCCAGGGTGACGTGGTGGTGAACCTGCTTTAGCAGGGCATTAATTTACATTCCATATGCTCCAGTATCGTCGCTTGTGATTTCTTTTTTCTGTGGTGTAGGTAGGCCGATGTTGGGGTGACGGCCGGTAATGGCATAGTCTTGGGGAGACACCGTGGTGCTGTTGGTCGTGGCATTCATGGATTTAAACGGCAGATTCTAGAACGTCTGTCCATTCACAGTTTCTGTCTTCGCATAACATATAAAGTCGTTCTTCATCGTGCGATGTTGTCTCGATATTTCCTGAGCTTTGTGGGCGCCAAGGACAGTGAAGTTCTTGCGTGATTGACATCTGGTTACAGAATTGTCGATAGACTTCTCCAGTGAAGTGTGTGCCTCGATCAGAGGATACTATGCGTGGAATCTTTCTGTGTCGAAGGAAGAAATGGTACAATCCGGGGCGGCGCGAGTAGCACGGTCTCGCGCATGGTATGGCTGTAAAATGTCGGCTGAAGCTATCCAAGATGGTTAGGATGTAGCGTTTTCCCTTTGAGTTGGACATTGTGACAAAGTCTATAAAGACGAGATCGAACGGTCTCTTTCCTCGTTTGCAGTGACCAATGGGCCAGTGGGTACGTCTATCGTAGTTTCCCTTGCACTTAGCACACGTGTCGCAAGAATCGACATAGGCCATGATGTCGCGGTTTTTGAATTCCCACCAGTAGCTGGAAAGGAGTTCTCGCATATGGGTGACACCTGAGTGGTTGTTGCCTGTAGAGGTATCTGGGTCGTAGTTTGTATGGTACAACCAATCTCGGAGAGTGTTTACTGTCTCTTATCATCAAAACGGAGGTACCTGGTTCTAGAAGAAATTGGTGAAAATGTTTTTTGAAAAGCGTAGCTCGGTGGTCGCCAGGATCGATATGAGGTTCGCTTCGAGTGGGTGACTGGAGGGCGCTGATGATCTTTGCCAGGGCGTTGTCCTTCTGTTGTTGTCTGCAATGCCGAGGTGGTTGCAGATTCTCTCAGTGGGGATGGTGCTGGTGGAGTGGTAGGCGAAGAATGCGTTGGTGATGCGCTTGTGGGTGCGGGCGTTTTGTGGTGTGTGAGTTTTGAGAATGAGCTGTATATCGTTAAACTGGCCGAGGCACCAAGATGGGATGTATCTGCTGAGGTCTGAACCGCTTACCTCGAATGTCCTGCCTGCCGGTGTAGGGTCGTTCGGGGCTTTTCGTTTTCTTATGTCCGCAACCTCTGCTGAGCATGTCAGCCCATACATTTGATTCGCCTTCAACATATTCCAAGACAAATTTATAACATGAAATTTCTTCTTGCCATCGTCATATTTTGGCATTATTGAACTCTCGTTGGTCCAGGTATGTCAGCGATCTGTGGTCGGTGAAGATAACGAAGGGGCGGTTGTGAAGGAAATAATCAAATTTCAATATTGCCCACTTTATTGCATATGCCTCTCGTTCCGTCGTGGACCAGATCTGTTCCGTGGAGTTGAATGTATGGGAAGCGACCGCTATGATATCTTTCTTCCCGTTGTCAGCTTCTTGCATTAAGATTGCTCCACATGCGATGTCACTGGCGTCGGTGGTGAGTGTGAAAAGTTTGGAGAAATCTGGAAATGAGATGACAGGTGGTGAAGAGAGACGGTCCTTGATTTTTTTTTGAAGGCTCTGTCGGCATTTTGCGTCCAGATAAACGGTTTATTAACCTTGCTGAGTTCGTGTATGGGACCCATAAGTTTTGAAAACATATCTGACCTGATTTGTTCGTGAAGACGTGTCTCTAAGAATTGTCTGATCCACACTAAACGGCCGATGAGGCTTTGTAATTCCTTTTTTAATGTTGGAGGTTTCATTTCCTGGATGGCACAAACGTATTCTGGATCAGCCTTGAATCCTTCGCTGTTTACTATGCGTCCGAGGAATTTTGCCTCTGATGCGAGGAAGGAACATTATCGGGATTCAGCTTGAGTCC